GATCAATTTGAGACTTACAATTGAGTTTTGTGATTGACCCTCGACTCTAGTCATCTTCCCGTGATGATCATTAATATCCTATGCATCCATCTTGACTTCTAAAGTATCGTCGTCGTTTTCGCCTTTACTTTGTCTGATATTCATCTTCCGATGCTTCCATTTCTATTTCTAAAGAATTGCCATCGTTGGCGCCTTTATTTTGTAGGGTCTTTTTACTTTCTTCATGCTCGTTTGGTTTTGTTCGAGGAAAGCAAAGAGTAGTACCGTAAAAAAGCAACAAAAAATTCACATGTCGATATTAGTATGATTTAAAAGGAATTATTTGTTTCGCATTGAATGAAAGTTGTGCTATGAGAATTGAAATATATGAACAAAAATAAGTTAAAGAAAAGTAAAGTCATGCCGAATATAAACTTAGAAGTGAAAAAATTTGGATCTCTAGACAGAATTCGACTGCCAATTTCGATGGCTAGGATATGATTTGACTAGGAAAATTGTTGGGTTAAATGTTTCTTGTATGGTTTATGACATTATGTAAAACATGGTGTATGTTATGATAGAATTCCAATGATTATGAGTCTCGAATATCTTGCTTAAGGTAACATATAAATAAGTTTTGACTTGAGACTCGAATAATTAATATTATTATATATATTTTTTGGGTCAAAATTAATACTATTATATAAAACAAAAGAAAATATCTTATTTTTAAGTGATATCAATCATTTTTTTTCTCCTCAAATATCATTTATTAATACGTCCATGAGCAAATATGCAAGTCAGAAATTCTACTTCATTTCTTACTAATATCATATTTAAAGCTCGAATTTATAACAACCTTCGTAAAATATTCTAGATCATGCAATACTTTGCTCATTACTTGTGTATCAATACGATATCTTTGTCTTATGTATTTCGATATATCCATTACTTATTGATTTCAAATTTTTCGCACTAAGGCGATTCTAATTAATTTTTCGAATATTCTTTCTTTTTAGGTACAGGCAACACGTGTCCACATTCGCTGGCGCCATCTAACTATTGACAAAACAATAAAAAATAAAATAATTATATGTCCTCATTTTCCACCAACTTAATCAATAAAATGGGTTGGTATATAATTAAAGTTTTTTTGGTGGATTATGCTAATAAAATAAAAAAATGAAAGTGCCAGAGCACAGTTCTAAAAATGAGCTAAAACTACCCATTTCGTATTTTACAATTTTACCCTTGCAGGTCCGGTAAACACGGGCATTTCCGCTCGTCTGCTAACCTCTTCAATCTCCTACCCTAAGCTCCTGAGCCTGAGCTCGGTCTCATCATCAATGGCGGACTCTGCGATTTCCGTCGACAAGCTCAAGGCGTTCTGGCGTTCCCAGGTTCACGACGACGAAAACTGGGCTTTCAACATGGTACCCTCTCCCTCTCCCTCTCTCTCTCTCTCTCTCTCGAACATATCTGCTAGATTATAGCTTTAGCTCGTGTGATCTTCGTCGCACATGTCTTCAAGGTCCGGTATAGGAGGGCCCCTTGTTGCGATTCAGGTTCAGGGATTAGGCTCTCGAGTGTAGCAGGAGAACATGCGAATGCCCATTATTTCATGCGTAGAAGATGCTCATCAACTTCCGCTCAATTCTCGCGGAGCTCTCGGTGTCGCCGCAGACCCTTTTGTCCACCAAGCGACTGCACGCCGTGATAACCAGGACCCATCTCTCCAGCGACCCGTTTTACGCCACCAGGGTGGTCCAACGCTACGCCATGAGCAACGGCCTCGCCTATGCTCGTAGGCTGTTCGATGAAACGCCTCGGAGAAGCGTCTTTCTGTGGAACTCCATCATTCGTGCCTACGCGCGAGCGGGCGACTTCGATGAAGCGTTTTCAATGTTCGGGCAGATGGTTAGGAGCGAGATAAGGCCTGATAATTTCACGTATGCTTGTCTTACGCGGGCATGCTGTGACAGGGCTGATTTGGGTAGGCTGAAAATTGTGCAAGGAGGGGCTGTAGTTTCTGGTTTGGGTTGGGACTCAATCTGCAGTAGTGCCCTCGTGACTGCTTATTCAAGGTTAGGCCATGTTGATGAAGCAAGCAGAGTGTTTTATGCTATGCCCGAGTCTGATCAGGATTTGGTGATGTGGAATTCCATGATTTCTGGTTATGGGCATCTTTGTGAGTGGGATAAGGGGTTGAAATTGTTTAGTGAGATGAGAAGCCTGGGAAGGTTACCTGATGGGTATACTTTGGTTGGGTTGATTTCTGGTTTGGCAGATATGAGCTTGATAGGTGTCGGGCAAAGTATACATGGACTTTGTTTGAAAAGTTGTCTAGACTCCGATGCTTATGTGGGTGCTGCTCTAGTTAGTATGTATGCAAGATGTACGTGCATGGATTCGGCATGTAAAGTTTTTGGAGGTTTGTCCCAGCCTGATTTAGTTGCATGGTCCGCTCTGGTAATGGGCTATTGCCTATGTGGAGATGGTGAAAAGGCACTCCTGGTTTTCAGAAAGTTGACAATTGAGTGTAGGATGGTAGACCGTGTTTTGATCTCTAGTGTGCTTGTGGCAATTGCACAATTAGCAAATGTAAGGCCCGGTAAAGAGATACACGGTTTTGTTCTCCGCCATGGATTGGAATCCGATATTATGGTTTCGTCTGCGTTCGTAGATATGTATTCAAAGTGTGGTTTCTTGGATGAGGGAATGCACATTTTTGAGCATATGTCTGATAGGAATATCATTACGTACAATTCCATCATTTTGGGTCTTGGGCTCCATGGACTAGCTTCCCAGGCATTTCAATTATTTGAGGAAATACTTCGCATTGGAGTATATCCTGATCAATGTACTTTCTCTGCTCTCCTTTGTGCTTGCTGTCACGCTGGCCTTATAGAAGACGGAAAGCAAATTTTCAGGAGAATGGAAGATGAGTTCTGCCTCCAACCTGGGACCAAGCATTACGTTTACATGGTAAAGCTTCTTGGCGCCGCTGGAGAGTTGGAAGAAGCGTTCAATTTCGTTCAGTCCTTGCCACAACCAGTGGATCCTGGGGTCTGGGGTGCACTACTATCATGTTGTGAGATGTGTGGTAATTCCACAATGGCTGGTATTATAGCTCAGCAGCTCTTTCAAATGGAGCCAGAGAAGGGTGCCTACAGAGTGATGCTTTCGAAAACTTATGCTAGTGATGGAAGATGGTCTGATGTGAAGAAACTGAGAGATGAGATAATAGACGGTAGACAGAAAAGAATCCCTGGGCTGAGCTGGATTGGATGTTCTGGCAATCAGATTGACAATAAATTGTCGACCTGTTAATCCTGTTATGACTGGAGCAAGTAGAGGTTAAAAATAGAGGGTGATCAGGGAGGAGGAGAAGAGTGTCATATAATACATCGTTTTCCTTTTTGTAGCCTTGGATAATTGGTGGTATGAGTGTTATGATTTTTCTTGATAATCTTGTAGTCGTTCCATCTTTTTGAATTTGTAACAGGTATGGTATCATCTTCATACCTTTCTGAGTATATATAATGTTTTCAGACGGGAGTCTGATAAATCTTTTTCAGGGAGCAAGATCCATAGGAATGGTCGCAGCTACATAAGATTTAGTTTGGATTTGGAACTTCTGATGAGTGATTAACTGGTCTTCTGTTTCTGACTCATGGAAAAAAAGAATCATGAAATTGATAATGAACGATGGACAGTTGCTTTCGCTTTTGTTTATATTGGTATTTGTGTATTGAAGGCTGACTGAACTTATGCGGTGGAGATTGATGGTCATGTACCTGTTAATATGCTGCCCCCCTCACTCTCTTTATGGTGCGCAAAGATGTGTTTTCTGATAAAACCTTGGACTGATGCCACTGAATAGTATGGTTTATGAATAATCAAGTGACTCATGGTTATTCAACGTCTGTGTCTGTTGGATGTGAGCAAGCTTCATTTTACCTTTGTAATAGTTAAAAATAGCTCCTATTGCATCTTCCTGAGCTTCAAGGTTGGATAGAAGTAGTTAATTTCTCGATAGGTTTTTTTCGGTTATCGTATTAACATCCTCTGGAAGCTGTTAATTTCTAAAAAGTTTTCGTTTTATATCGTATTAGCATATTCTGGAAAGTATGACCTCATTCCATGCAGTTGCAATTAGTCCCTATTCCATGAGATATTCATGCTTTAGATGCATTGCTTAATTTTCAGTGGACAGATTATGGTTTAATGTATGTTTTTTTATAGTTTTGTGGATGCATACCAGCAATGGCACTTACTGCTTGCTTGTTTCCTCTGAAGGAAGTATAAATATATGGTCTATGGGGATTCACCGTTCAGTAAGTTGATAGCATCTTAAACTTGGTTCGAACTCCCTTTCTTGCAGAAACTGCTGCGAGCTGCTGGATTGTTTGCGGGGTCTATTTTCCTGATGCGGCAGTATGGTGACCTTATGGCCGTGTGATGATCAATAGAAGTCAATATGCCTTTGGAACCATATCACATCCCGGATTTGATGAAATAGGATGAATTGATATGTAGCTGAAGCTCGTCCTGTTGTCTCCATCTTACTCATTCAGAATTGTGTTAGAATTTCTCCATTCATAGTTTTTGAAGCAATTTTTGTACACTGGCAAAGACAGATAGCTTCATGCTTTAGCTGACGATTTTTATGGTTGTGTCTGAACAATACTAGCTGTTGCAAGTATTGGTCCTTACTGGTAACTTGTTTGAATGAACAATTAGCCAGTAGCAGTTGGGGGGCTTGGTTGTTGTTAATTAGAAAATGAGTACGGAGGGCAAAACGGGACAAAAGTAGACAAGATTCTCTGGGGGCCTTTGAATGCTACTCTTGCTTGACGTTCTCAGTGATTCCAGACATTGGATATGTTCAGTTGATTCACATTAGCAACACAAGCAACTTGGTTGTCTTTGCAATTTCTATGGCGGATTAGAGAGAGATACTTGGTTCTTTGAATAGATCATTGCCATCATCAAACTTCCTAGGGGGCTTATTGACAAAGGGATACCAATCTCAATCTCTTACTAATTTCGCAAGCATCAACATAACCAATTAATTGAACGAACATCTCTAATGAGTGTAAACATAATAGTGCAAGGAAGTAGAAAATGCAAAATTAATGTTATTCAAGAAGAAATTGATATAAAATCACTTTTACACCACTAAGTCGAGCTGATGAAAGAATGTCGAAGAGAGTGATATTCTTTCACTCTACATCATCTTCTCATGTGAAATATATACATTTTATCGCAACAATCGAAAGAGGTCTGAAAAATGCGGATGCATCACATGGAACAACTTTAGTCCAAGGAATTTATCAGATCCTTAAAATTGAACACCAGCCAGTCAGCTTTAGCTGCTACAGCCTCTCGAAGTTGAACGCCTCCATAGCATATAAACAAGTCCGCACCACCTGGCTTACGGGCCTGTGAAAAGAACAAAAGAAACAAATTAAGAAAACAGGCATAGAACTAAATATACCTAATGTGCATCCAACTTTTTTGATTCAATGGCCAATCCACCAAAACACAACCACCATTACAAGTAACCTTTTTTGCTTCCATTTCTATCCAGTCACTGTTACAGTCCGATAGGACGAGACTACTAATGCACAAGAAAATCCATGAAACATAAAGTTAAGGAGTTCGCCAGATTCATTTAATAGGAAATGATAATTCAATATTTGTTCAACATGGCAAACAGGAGAATGCCTATCTTGTTTCCTCGATATTTCTTAACCGAAGAAGTGCATGCGATGTCACTAACCTCGAGATCAGTTGCACCGTCCCCGATCATGACTAAAGCTTTGTATCCATGGGCCTGTCAAGAAAGCTTTAAATTGAGGTTTGCTAGTAGTAAGCCATACAATTAAACAAACCTTTGCTATCAAAACCGACCTTCCTTATTTGTTGTACTGCAGTGGCCTTTCCACCGCTTCGAGAGGTAGGCTCATTGGTGTCAAACCCCAAAAACTCCCCAGAACTTCCAAATAGCAGTTGATTGGCAAAAATGTTTTCAGGAGGAATCCCAAGAATTGAGGCAACGGGCTGCAGAAGAATTGCTCAAAGAATCAGAAAATGCATTTTCTTGCATATTTTGCTTCACTATATAGGGTTGCCTTACAAAACTGAAAAAAACAAAACATATGAAGCTATGCAAGTTCGATAACTGTAACCCATCACAATTGAGCATAACATTTGATGGTATCACATGAAAGGTGATCTACTATTCTTAATATCCATTTATACCCTTAATCGTAACTCATCTGCTCCCATTGTGCATAGCATTTGAAAGTGTTTCTTGCGATATAATAAATGCAAGAGTGAAGAAAGACGGGGAGACAGACACTGACTCAGCAGAAAATGCATAATTTTCCCTCAACAGGATTCAGCAGGCAGTAGTACCATACATTGATCATTTGGCGAAATCCTCCAGAGATGAGATAAACATCTGTTTTTTGGGCCTTCAGCTTCATGATCAACTCATTTATACCAGGAGAAATCCTGCCAATAGAAAGCCAAATGATGATATCTACGTACTTCATTCGTAACAGTGAAAAGTTTTCGTGCTTCAAAATTGGTTCTAATGAAAGAGAAAATTACAAAATATCTGCACCAAAATATACCCATCTGGCAAAAACTATTTCAAGATGCATCAAACCAATAACAGTGACTTAACAGGTCAATCATTTGTTATATTTTCCATTTGAATCAACAGAGTGAATTTCGCGCCAGCCGTCACCCATATACAGTGTGCATAAAATTCAAGTAGCACACTTGTTAGTTTTAATTATTTTAACATGACACATCCGTTTGATGGATTGACCAATAATCCCCATACAACATACAGAAACATTAACTTCACATCTGACTACAAATAATATTAACGGTTTAACTAGGCTCCATGAAATCGGGATGTTCCAATTGTCTCAAAGTGCATAAGTTTTTGAGAGTCTGAAACCCACCAATGTTGCTTACCATATTATGACTCGGAAAACTGGAATTTTACTGTGGAAACATCCAGCTTTATGGTCATTATATCAACAAAATTAATCTTGCATGATAGGTCAACTAAAATCATACTCACTCCACTAGGGGCCTGACAGAAACGGTAAATGTGAAGAATCTAAAAGGATATCCTCATGCATAATACTTGTAGAGATCTAGGTAGGAGCAATAGATCAAATAAAGTAGTTAACGTACCTCGGGGGCCTTTTTAAGAAATCTTGGACTTGGGACAAGGAAGGATTGAACAAAGATAATCTCGCAGCCAAGGCCTCCTCGAAAGGAACTGAACCACCCATTGCTCTAAAATATTTGGATTATGCAGCAATGACCGATGCTAATGTACAAAATATATGGGACAAACAACACTAATGATAAGAAACAACTTACCTCGCAGTCCATTCTGCAACAGCTTTTCCAGCTCCACAGAACTCTGCAAGCTCATCGATGCCTTCATCAACACACACAGTGCTATCCACATCAAAGCATACAGCATCGGCATTTCTCCAAAGGTCCAGAACTTCTGGACATACAACAGACAGTTCAGAATCATCAAAAGTAATAAGCTAAGAGTTCACCTATTTATTTTCAAGCTTCAAACACTCGACTCCCCCAGTTATGTTTTCAGTGAAGCATGCAGTTTAGACGCAACCAAGCAATTTCCCTTAACTCACTTTCTAGACTATGACTTAATAAACCCAGATTAATATGAACTGAGCATCAACTCAAGTTCAACAGTGATTTCTGTAAATACCGGCATTCACTGTATATATAACCTTTAGATGGCAATGTGTTGTCAGAGTGACTCAATTTTGAACCCTCCAGTGAATGAACGGAGGCAGAAACCGAGTTAAATGACATTGAGCTCATGGTCATCCACACTCGGTTTCTGTATGGAGTCTGCACGTATCTCAGCGTAGATGTCCGAACAAGAGGCGACAGATGCCGGCTTCTGTGGGTATAAACAGGTGCGCTTTGTACGCACTTCAAACCTTCCATGAATATATCTGTTTCCAGCAGATCAAAGAAATGAATGAAATGGAACTCAAACGCCAACATGGTGTCACTGCTCCATCAATGTAATTGGCTCCACGTAATCAGCCATCACACAACATACATGAGCTTTAAACCAACAAGCACGAGCAACCCCACTTGAAGCCAACCACATAACACACAAGCAAAATGCAAAGGAAACAAACGCAAGTGAATTTGGTGACCTTAACCAAGAGACTACGAAATGGGAGTGACAAGGGTACGAGTTTCACATTGAAAAGGCAACACTTAGCGACCATCTGAATGAGAAACTTTCAAGGGTAATGCAAAGAACAGGAGCGACACCTTGAATAGACGATCCAGAATGCTAAAGTTTAGATCTTTCTGTCATTTCCCAAGCCTTTTCACCTCGACTCAACACATCACAAAGCGAAAAGAATCAAAACACCCAGAGAAGAATGAGCACGAAACTCACTGATACAATTCACGCCCGTTGTTCGTTCGGCTGCAATGGGCGTCGAGCGCTTCTTTTGCCTTTTCGTTTTGCCTTCGCTGGCGTTCTTGCTGTGTTGGATCTGCAATATTCGGATCTGCGTGAGGTTGGTGGAAGAAAGTGGGTGAAACTGGTACGGTTCTGTTTTTCCTTGCCAGATGTATCAAGGTTAGGAGGTCTTTCACTATTGGTCGGATTCGTTGCCTGTTTATGTTGGTGCGGTCCAAACTCCAAATACATTTTCAGTATTACAAAGTTAAACAAAATGAATATCTAAAAGTTTTTTTATTATAAAAAGGGCTAATACTAGAAAAAAACCCAAAATTAATACATCTTGAAAAATTTATCCCAAACTAATTTAAAACCCAAACTGATACATTTGTGACAAATTTACCCTCCGTTAGTTTCCGTTAAATTTTGTTGTCAAATTGCTGAATTGGATGACACGTGGCAATTGACGGGTAGTTTTACTCTTTGTTTGTCATAGGTCTATCAGTTTGTGATTTTTCATGATATTAATTCAATTTAACGGAAACTAACAAATGACATAATTATCACAAGTGTACCAATTTAGGGTTTTTTGTGGCCAAAAAATTAATTTGAAGTAAATTTGTCACGGGTGTACTAATTTGGAGTTTTTTGTGGTAAAAAAATTAGCTTGTGGTAAATTTATCACAGATATATCAGTTTGGAATTTTTCGTGGTATCAACCCTTGAAAAAAAAAATAGAAAACAAAGATAAGCTATTTTTCTTTTCCAAATTTTGAATAGAAATGAGACGTACGTTAGGGAAGATAGGACCTATAGGAAGCAAAAGAAATGTATGATGAGCGCTTTTAGTGAAATTTCTTTTGGGCAGAGTGCGTTCAGTGAGTATGGGAATATCATAAATAAGAAAGTGTTCATTAAAATGTGTAAGGTAGAAAAATATTGGGTGTAAAATAAAGTTATATTTTGAATTAACTTTCACATACCAAATGAAATCCCCATCTATTGTTCGCAAAAACAAATAATTCTTGCTGGAATCAAGTTAGAAAAATATTTCACGGAACAAAGAAGAACGAAATATCGAAGAGGCATCTACGAGAATCTCTAAAACACTCACAAAATTATGTTAGGAGTCTTTAAGACTGGAAACATGTACTAATCATATCAGAAACGAGCATACAGAAAACCTGCACACTGCAGAGAGAACAACATGCAAAGACTCATCATTTTCGCCTTTTCAAAGCATATATTTTCTTTTCACACTTTCAAATCAATTATGATCTGTCACATACAGTAGAAAAACTAATTGACAAAATCAACCTTTTCCATTGGTCCACTTCACATTGCATAGTCGGCAGCGAGTACGTATATAGAATGGAGGCTCTAGTTTACTACCTTCACTGAGGGGAGATAGATAAGCAGCAAATTCCAAATGACAACCAGAAGGGGCAATAGACCTTAGACAGTCTTGAGAATGCATGAGAGACCTCTCAAGCTATAAATATAGTCCATGAATCAATGCTTATGGAAGATTATATACAAGAGAAACTAGCTTGATGAGATTATACACAAAGCCTACATTAGTCCCCTTTAATTAGAAAGTGCTACCTAAGAGGCCAAGCTATTTGTTTGGAGTCACTCTTGCTCCAAAGAATCTAGCAAGGTTGAAAAAGAAGAGTAAATATCCACGATAAGTGGAGAGCAAATAAGTAATGTCTGCATTCTACAATGGTTTTGTAGCAGCATCCTTGATGTAGGACACGGCTTCCTCTTCTGAGAGCTGCCCTCCTTCTACCAAGCCTCTTACCAACGTGTTGGCATAGTCTTCACTCGGAGCGCGCAGAGGAACCTTCCCTGATCTGAAGTTTTCGATAACCAACGTATCGCACCTAAATGGATCAGCAAGTCAGAACATGGTATTAATTCTGTGGACCAAGAAATTTGTTTGGCAGATAGTCTCGAGATCATGCGTGACTTCTAGGAGAGGAGGACAAAGGTAATTTATATGCTTACGTCATTGTCAGTATAGGGATGTCTTGCTGCATTCCCAAGTAAACAACGTTATGGTACCAACCCTTCTGTAAACAAATCAACCAGCTTGAAATATTAAAGATCAGAATGTGATAACTGAAAAAGAACGAGATAAAGTTGAGGCTTTATCGGGTGCACACGATAGTATTTGGATGAGATCAAAAGGAAATACCTTGACAGCTTCCAAGTTGAAGGATCCTTTTTCTTTAATGCAGTCCAAAGATGTAAGATCAAACAAAGGAGAACTCATGTCATAGCTGGAAACATTTTCCTGAAGCAAGACATCATTGAACTGCTCTAACCTGATCAGAGAAAGTTGAAAAGACAAAAATTCATAGTTGCAGTATAACATACATTTGTCAATTTTGTTATGATTCCACTCCATCCTTCTCAAGAGAGCATTCTCTTCAACAGAGAGAAGGAAGGATAGAGGAGAAAGACAAACATGAGAAAGACGTACGTTATCCTATACAGGCACATGTGCACGATATCCTCGTTCTTGCTTTCAGGATGAAGGAAAGCAACTCCTCCCAAACCCCATGTACGTGAGGATTCCCTACCGAAGAGTAATCGATGAGGAAAGGTCTTCCACAAAATCTCTTTAGGCAGGCTTTTGTCCATTGAGCCAGAACATGGCTTTTGCATGCCATCCACCTGAAATCAGTGTATAGGACCACATTACAATCATCATGAAAGTCATGATACGTCAGTATGTTAGGTAATTGATGTTCTGAGGCTTGACAAAGGCAAGTTTAAGGTGCATTACCAGTCCACCTTCAATATAGCAGAGGAATCTAGGCTTCCACATATTTGATCCAAAGGTGGCATACCAGATGTCAATTTTCGTAAGATCTGATCTCCAGGACACAGAAGCAGATTCTGCAAGAACTACATTTGATTTAAAGATTGTATTAATTTAATAAAATTCATAATTACTTTTTCACAATTCCACTGATGGTAAGTTTCTTTACCGTGATGATCTACATCAACCCTGAGAGTTGAAAGCGGTAGAATGACATCCTGCAGAAGCTCCTCAACATCTTCAGCTTCAGAGTCAGAGCCTGAAATGAGAATTTTCTGGAACAACATGATGATTCCTTTAGTAATGGGAACCATGATAATGATATAAACAAAAGGGAACATCTAACTTCTAAAACTCACTTCATAGACCCTGTCAAAGATAAAGAAAGAATGGGTTGTGACAGGAACTAGTCAGTAACATACTATATCTCTAGATTGAGAAGGATTATCTTTGAAAAAAGTAAAATCTGCCTCCAGGAAACACAAATATTCCAGCATTCAGATTTCGAGGACATAAGAATGCTTGCATAAAAGTAATCAACAGCTCAAGAACCATCACCGGAATGGGTGCTTTTTGACTTGTTAACTTGGTTGGCAATTCATCAGCAAGTACTGACCAGAAAGCTTTTAGTTCTTGACGGACCTGAGAAAGTTAGCTTGCTATTAGCATACTTCATTTGATTAATAATAAAAATGCACCTAAAATTTCGGTGAGACAAATTGCCAGACCACCCAGAAAATAAACATTTTACCGCTTGTATTACTCGCCATGTGGACTCAAAAGGATAGGCTTCAGTAGAACCAGTGACGGTTTTATTATCCAGCAAAACTTCCATGCATGCAAGGGCCGAATTTGAAATTGAGGCGAGATTGTATCCTCCTTCTAATGCTAATACTATCTTACCTCGCGCAAAGTCCATTAACTGAAAAGAAACATCGACATGCTTAATACCTTGTAAGGATCGGAAAAAGCCAATCAAATACTATTTATGACGATAACACAAAGCAAACAAGGGAAGAGGATTTCCTGAGAAGATAAATTCCTATGGTACTAACTTGACTTACATATTATTCACAATATTTCAAACATAAAATGGATAGAGACAGATTCCAGCTACTGAAAAATTGAGAGAAACTTATATAGAAATTAACCTTCTTTAACATCATCGCGTATCCATATGGAGTGACACAACAACCTCCCAGGGGATCACCAACAGCTGTTATAAGCATTAAATTATTAAATTAGTAGAACTCAATGCTAAATAGTCACCGTCATACATACTACATAGAGGAAGTACAGGAAGTGCACTAACAGAACATCACAACCCAAAATCAGAGCATGCTATTCCCTTTTATAGCTCAAATGCACATTAACAAGAACATACCAATCAGTCATAGGGATACCTCCCTAAAGTGGTTTCCCAAAGCTATCTTGTAGTGGACCATCAAAAGTTTGGATTTGCTAAGAGTCCTTTAGAATCTAATGCTAACCCTTTTAGGCAGTAATCCTGGAATTTAGATCCTTATCTTTCTCCAACAAGGATAAGAAAAAAGATGATAGAGAAGTGAAAGCCCATGAGCGTTGGATTCTGCTTTCCTCCTCTTCTATCTCCCCAACCCCCCCCCCCCCCAAACAAAATTTCTTTTTTTTTTCTTTTCATAAGTAAAGAGGGTGGGTAGGCATGGCCAGTGCAGCTACACCCCCTCTCTGAAATTTACCTATTATGCACTAATCGTGCAGTAAAAGCTACGGATGAAGAATATGCGTAATCAACCTTCAAATAGGCCATCATTAACTAAGACATAACATAACAATAATCTCATGAATTTCTAATTCTGGTCAATCTATGAATTCAGTTTCAGGGCTTACATTTTATCACGTGAACGAAACATGATAATAACTTTTCTTTCATCTATTTCATCTTACAATATGATTACAAGAATTTTTTACATGCTTTTCCTTCACGTAAGAGCCCAACAAAATCTTCTGTGGACAATAACTAAGAAGGCATATTATTTGATTATCTAGTATGATCTCTATCCTACATTTCTGTTGCACAGACCACATTCTGAGTCAAATATCAGCTTCCACCTATTATGACTAATTGTTATTTCTGCAACCCATGTAACTTTTATAAAATGCTACAATCTTTTATACCATCTATTATTTGATTTCTCCATGAAATTCTAGTCAATAAAGATAACCACTCATTGATGCATTTGCAAAGAAACTAGTCACAAAGCCAAGCACATCACATCACTTCTAGTCACCAAGGGTGCCAGTGCATTAACATGAACTGAGGAAAAAATTGTGGAAACACCAAACTCATAACTTAAACTAAAGTACGAAGAAAAAACCGGAAAAACGTAGAAACTAAAAGAATAGTGACAATGACCCTTCATAGAATTGCTCGTCAGATATATGATAAACAGACCTGCATCAAAACCTGCAGAAATTAGTATCATGTCGGGATTAAATTGCTTAGCAACAGGGATCAAGATGTGGTCCCATACTGCTAGATAGTCTGCATCTCCACACCGACCATTCTCCCACGGGACATTTATATTATACCCAGCACCGGGACCTTCTCCAATCATTGTATAGTCACCATCATCATTGGCTGGATAAAAGGACCCAAACTCATGCCTGAAATATGAGGTCGATACTTTTCAGTTATGGATCAAACGTCAATTGTGAGAGTACCTCAGTGAGTTTCAAGTTTAAGCCATTAACCCGGGGCTTGTCTACAAGCTTAAGATTCTAATGAGGAAAGACTTCACGAAGGGAAAAAGAGCTGCTAAATCGCAGCTGAAACATGTTTAGTACTTGCTCACCTAATACAATTTTATCTTCAGAAAAAAGTCGTAAGAGATTTTAGGCTATTATTCCTAGACATGAGGATCACATAAAAGCTGCTGTAGTTTCTATACCTATGGACAGAGAAGAACAGAACTCGAGGATCTTTCCAGAATGACTTCTGAGTACCATTACCATGGTGAACATCCCAGTCAACAATCAAAATTTTGTTGATGCTCAATTCCTGCCCAAAAAAAAAACATGGGAAACAGTAAAAACTACATGGGGAGACATCTACTTAGACAGAGAAAGGTAAACCATGAACTGTTACTAGGTAACCAGCACTCACTTTCTCGCTTAAAAGAAAATTCGTAGCAATAGCAACATTGTTGTAGAGACAAAATCCCATGGCTTCATCATGTTCAGCATGGTGTCCAGGAGGCCTTACAATAGCGAAAGCAGAGTCTAATTCTCCTTTGGCAACTCTTTTAGCGACCTATAGGGATAAATATTCTGGTCAAACTTCACAATTGAAAGATGCAATCACATGATCACGGAAGCAGAAATACAAATTACTGTTGCAGATGGATTGCAACAATCCAGAATGCTCGTCATCATGCTAAAGACTAGATAGGCTATTTATTCGATTTGCAAGAGAAAATTGCTTGACTTTCAGAAACTGCAGTAAGTCTACTGTCAAACAATTATGTAGGTATAACTCAAGTGAAAGTTCTGCCAAGAAAATAAATCTCCCCATGATGAATAGCCTGGAAACACATCAGGCTTCAATCAGTAAGAAGATCAAGGCCAGAAAACAATTGGCCATGATACAAGATACTTCTGCAAACATGGAAGGACCCCACAAGTTCTCCTTTGGTCAAGAGACAAACCCTGATGATTAGGCAGTAGAGAAAGACAATCTTTTATGATTTTCAGGTATAGGGCAAGTACATATCTATGTGCACTCTAACGTGATTAATAAAAGAATCCATTACTTTACGTACTTAGTAAAGAGCATTGTAAACATTACAGGCAGATTGACCTGATAATTACAGCAGTTCAGAGGCTTTTCAGCAGTGGAAAATTATTACTCACCACCTAAAAAAGGCGGCAATCAATAAGCATACAGGCTTTTAAAACAAATTACCTCCACAACAGAACCAGCAGCAAGATAAGCAGCTTCTGATGACCCTTCATTCAGGTATATCGAATTGAACTTTGAAGCTATTCTATTTCTGCGCGAGTTAAACTGTTTGGAACTAATGTTCCTAATCACATCAACATGACTTTTCCCATGGACTGACAATATATATTTATCTTCAGCTTCTTTGGCATTCAAAACCTCGCACCTGGATAAAAAGAAGCAGTAAATCATACATTAAAATGATAGAGCAATTGACTAATGTTTTATCACGTACCGCTTTACTACCACTATAACAAATGTAAAATTCACCAATAGTTGCTGACTTTAGTTTATCATACAATCAAGTCGCTGAACTTTGATTCAATCGTCCAGTGCACTTTATTTTTCAATGTAACTGATGCTCTTGTACTGGAATCCGGCCTATTTTTCAGAGAAATGCTCATATGGCCAACACAAGGGCAATATATTGAACACCACATCGTGGCCACGTGTCTCTTATGTCAACACTTCACGAGAAAAAATGTTGAATTCTGGTCAAAGTGTATCAGTTATAAAAAAATGAAAATTTAGAGAGCCGATGAGTTAGATCGAAGTTAATTGACTTACATGGAATACCCATTAAAGTTTAGCGATCACTGGTAAAATTTACTCGCTATACCACTATTGAATTAACAAAAAGAAATTCAAGAATAAAGTGAGCATGAAACCTGTAACAAAAGTTAATTATCATGCATTGTTGTACCCATGAAAAGTTAAATATGCCGCTTACATTAATTCTTCGGTCAGCTCATTAAGTCTAGAAAAAAGAACAAAATCAGAAGTAAATGTCAAAAGCCAAAAGTGTCATATCTTTTCCACAATTGATACATCCAAACACCGAAACTAAATAATGCCGCTGTATTCTTAAATATGAAGTTCAAACAAGTATCTGAGTTTGAAACGGTAATCTTGTAAAAATGTACTTCCACAGTGAACGAGCGGAGACAACTCTTAAACCATGCCATTTACCCAGCTAATCCAATCCAGCATATTAAACGCTCACAGAGAAAATCTTTCCTTCGAATCCATCATCTTCACTCTACCAAACATAACAACTTCAACAGAAAATTCCCAATTCAAATCAAACTTCTCCACTGAAATTGAGCCCAGTTCGGCAAATGCGTACGCATCTCCATCCTCCCAACAATCCATATGAACATTGATCACCTCATCAAACCGCCAGATCAAATGAAAAAAGAACCCTTTATGTCAGTGCCAATTTTTTTATAAAAAAAAAAAAAAAAGACTCTAGACACCTCTTTGTCCACCGATCAAACACAGCACGTCATTCAACCTCCACCTCACATGCAAATTGATAAGGAAAATGAAACTTCGAACATGACAAAGCCGGGAAATGCCCGAGGAAACACTGATATGCGCACGCGCGCGTAAAGTCGGAACCTTTGAGCGACGCCGGCGCTTTGGAGCTTGCTCCAGATGGCTCTGATGCGATTAGGGTTTTCAGGGTGAGGTTCGTCGTCAGGCGTGTGGTGCCTGCACATTCTCTCATCGTACAGTATCCCGACTCTTCGCTGACTCCTGCTCGTGCCGCCACTCCCGGAGTCCACACCTTCCATTGCTACCCTGTTCCCTCCCTCCCTCCCTCCCTCTTCTCTCTTCTCTCTATCTTCGCGACCACGTCAATGAGAGAAAGGAAGGAGAGAGAACAGAAGAAACGAGGATGTTCGAACGAAGAAGATCAAGGAAAGTTCGAACAGAAACGACAACAATCCCGTGACCTGGCCATACGTTTCCTTCGAAATGAGCAAATGAAATGCTGCCACGTGGACAGAGGCCAACCTCAGTGACTTTTTGGTCCTCGTTGTTTTGAAAGTGAATCCCGCCCGCCTCGTACACTTTCTTCCTCTTGGTCAGTGGGCCAGTTTTTGTTCACAGCTCCTTTTAGTTGGATAATTACGTAAATAATTTATGAACTTTGGTTCAATACGCAATTTAATCCATGAAATTTTTATTTATTCAATGTAATCTCTAAATCTTAACTAAATATTTAATGTAGTCCCTAAATTTTTAATTTGTCCAATGTGGTTCCTGGACTTTACATTGAATATTTTTATATAGTTCAGGGACTAAATTAAACATGTACCAAAAGTCCAGGGACCACATTGGATAAATTAAAAGTTCAGGGACCACATTGAATATTAGGTTAAAGTTCATGGACTACATTGAAAAAATTAAAATTTCATGGACGAAATTGCATATTAGGTCAAAATTCAAGGACTTTTTATGTCATTTTTTCTCTTTTATTTATCAGTGAAAGAAGCTCCAAGAGTATCTCAAACCCTGCTTAGTCAATCCAGTGATCGATTAACATCTCAAACGTGGGAATCCATGTTAAGAGCTCGGTGCATATCGACCGATATGTTTAAAGTTTCGAAATGATTTTATGAGAACCCAATGTCAAACCAGCTTGCAAATACCAATTAGCCATCAGCATCCTTACTAATCAAAGTCAACATAAAAAGCCCAGCATCCTTCATTTCGAAGCACTAAGCATTGTCCACATGGAAAATTTTTAATGTAGTCCAGAAAAGGTTGGCAAAAAAAAAGGGAAGATATAGCGAATCATCGCAAGTGGTTCATATGAAACTTTACCGCCTGCATAAAGATGAGAAGCACCTAAATTTCTCTACATATTTAGGAGTAGACTAAGCACTCAAAATGAAAATATCCCGCTCTAGGTACCAAGTGCCAAAGCCAGCTCCAATTCCAACAAGCACACAAGCTAGTGAAGCAATTGAATTGATGACAAACACGACAGTAATGTGTCGTGTCGCACGTCATGTGTCGGTGTCGATGCTACTTATAACACAACCCTAGCAGCAAAGTGTTGAGCAAACCTCCTAATATATTTTGAAGATGACAAAACTATCTATGAGTAAAGTCTGAAATATACTTTTGAAGTATTCTAAGTCCAAACAATTACATTTTGGAAGTCCAGACTTTAAGAAAAAATCCAAGTTCTACACTGCAAAAGATAGAATTTAGACTTCATACAAAGAAGTTGAAGTACCTCGGTTTATATACTGGAATCAATATATTTAGAATTCACTGAACAAACCACCTTCACGTCAAGTTCTGAGCAGAAGAGCCTTATCCATACTTTATCGCTTACTTAGAACGTAAACAACGGCTAGTGATCTGGTTTGGATTTCACCAATGGAAAGAATCGATTGATTCGATCTTAGAAGGGTATTTTGCAAGGAATGTTTATATAGCAAGATATCCCAAAATTGATTGACAATCAAATCCCACGACAAGTTTATTTCTAAAATGGAGAAGCTCTACTTATGGAAACCAAATCTCTAGTTGTATGGGCGATCAGATTTAGCGGGATTTTGATTTTATCACTCAACGGCTACTCAATCCTTTCTATACAAATCTGTCCAAGGTGAAGATTGGAAAATGATCATCTAAAGATTGTCCAACTGCTAGTTTGGAAGTGGAAGAGTATAAAAGGAGACAAATCGTCGAAGAGCAGCTGAAGAGAGACAAAATCCAGAATTATCAACTCCAAAGTCTAAGCAAACTCTGATAAGTTTTTTACTTGTCTTTCTCGAGCTTAAAATTGTGATCTTAAGAGACTTGTTGTAGGAGAGATAGAGTGATAGTTCTGAACATTACCCAGAACTTGTAATCTCTTTATCGATCATTTAGTGGAATCCAGCCAGTAGGCTGTCAGCGTGGGAGAGTGGACAGAGGCTTGCTACAAGCCAAACCACTATACATTTATGTGCATATTCTCTATTCCCTAAATCTCTTTATTGCATATTTAACTGTTTTCCATTCAAAGTCAGACCAAAATCTGAACGTTGTTCAGACTTTACCTGTAATCATTTATTTCCGCTTTAAATTGATCAAAAAGTGCTCGAATCACATATTCACCCCCCTCTATGTGATATTTGCTAGTCTCATCAATTGGTATCAGAGCAAGGTTGCTCGTTCATTGAAGTGTTTTTACTTCTGAGCTAACGATCTTTATGGCTAGCATGAGTGCTCCAGGTCTAGTAGAAGGACAAAGCAACACCAGACCACCATACTTCAATGACGAAGAATACTGTGTCTGGAAAAACAAAATGAAGGCATTCATCAAGTCCATTGACCCTTTGCAATGGGATGTTGTTTTAAGAGGAGTCAAATCACCTCCTCCTACAACTACTTCAAATTCAAAACAAAATGGCGAAACTCTAGCAGCTACTTGAAGTGAATCTATGCGGAAGTTGATCATTTTACGAAGATATGAAAAGTGCGAATCACAAAACCTCGACCCCCAATCGAACTTATGATTGGTAACCTCGGTATAAACGTGACCTGTTGACAAACTTGTGTCAACCAATCGACGTTATAGACGCCACGAACAAGAGAATTTGCTATCCTGCTCAATTAGTCGAATCGACTGCCACAAGGAAGGCTTTGATAAGGTCAAGTCCACACAGAACTCAAAGAAGAGAAAAAAACATCTCGTTGTATTAAGGTGAATAATAATTGTCCCAGAGAAATCCTAAACACCCTTTTTATATGGTGTTAACCCTAAACGCAAAAAAATTACGAAAACGCCACTAGAATTAATAAAAGCGCCAAAATAAAAAAAAACTTAAAAAAAACCATCAAAACTACTCCGAAACACAAAACGCGAAAAAACGACATTCGTCACGGCATTAGCGGTGAGTATTGATCAGTGGCCCGTTTCCTTGCAGCTAACCAAATTTGATCGTGTTGCACCAAGAGATCCAAGATTCTTCAAGTCCCGATCCAAGACCGCTTCCACTCCAAAGATCTCGAACCATGATGCCAACAGCTTGCTTGAATTGCTTCGCTCTCGCTAGAGTAATCGGACCAAGAGGATAGGACAATGGGTCCCTAGCACCTCCTCCTCGATATGGCGCGATGTCTACATCATTCCCTCCCTCGTGCAAAGAATTTGCCCTCAAATCATCTCCTGCATCGAAAAACTTTAAGTCAGAAATATTGAAAGTAGCACTAATACCATACCCACTTGGAAGATCAAGCTTGTAGGCATTATCGTTAACCCTCTCCAACACCATAAAACTGTCCATCCCCTCGCGGTTGTAACTTAGAAAGTTGCTGCTCGGGAAAACGCTCCTTGCACATATGAACCCAAACCCAATTGCTGGGCTCAAACACTACTTTCTTGCGCCGTTTGTTGGCTTGCTTTGCATATTACTTGGTCTTGTGCTCAATATTCAACCGTGTCTTCTCATGCAATGCCTTGACAAATTCGGCCTAACCATCTAACTCCATACGCTCATCAACAGGCAAATGGGTTAAATCCAATGGAATTAAAGGATTAAAGCCATAAACAACCTCAAACAGTGTAAATTTAGTAGCAGAATGCATGCTTCTATTATATGCAAACTCAACATGTGGCAAACAATCTTCCCAAGACTTTATGTTCTTTTTAATTATAGCACGCAACAATACCCCTAAAGTTCTATTAACTACCTCAGTTTGACTATTAGTTTGTGGATGACAAGTAGTAGAAAATAAAAGTTGTGTGTCTGACTTCTTCCATAATGTTTTTTAAAAGTAGCTAAAAAATTTAGTGTCTCGATCAGAGACAATGGACCTAGGCATGCCATGCAAACGCATAATCTCACGAAAGAACAAATCAGCAACATGCGATGCGTCATCGATTTTATGACAGGGTATAAAATGAGCCATCTTTGAAAACCGATCAACAACCACATAAATAGAATCCCGACCATGCTTAGACCTAGGCAATCCTAACACAAAATCCTTAGAAATATCAACCCAAGGATGCTTCGGAATAGGCAAAGGCATATACAAGCCATGTGGTTTAGTTGTAGACTTAGCTTGCTTACATGCAATGCATCTCTCACAAACACGTGTGACATCTCTTTTCATGTGTGGCCAATAAAAATGTTCATACAACACTTCATAAGTTTTATTAATGCCAAAATATCCCATTAAGCCACCACCATGCGTCTCTCGCACCAACAACTCACGCAAAGAACATTTAGGCAAACATAACTTGTTTTCACGAAAAAAGATAGCCATTATGCCTATAGAATTTTTCAAATGCAGCGTGTTCACAAGCTTCAAACACTCTTCCAAAGTCTTCATCATCAGTAAATAAGTCCTTCATATGCTCAAAACCTAGACCCTTTGCTCCTAGAGTAGTTAAAATTGTGTACCTTCGAGAAAGTGCATCGGCTACCACATTTTCCTTACATTTCTTGTACTTGATTGCATATTGAAAGGTCTCGATGAACTCCATCCATTTTGCATGTCTTTATTCAACTTTTGCTGTCCCTTCAAGTACTTTAAGGTTTCGTGGTCAGTGTGGATCACAAACTCCTTCAGCCATAGATAATATTGCCAAGTCTCCAAGGCTCGCACCAAAGCATACATCTCCTTATCGTAAGTAGGATAATTCAATGTTGCTCCACTTAATTCTCACTGAAATAAGCTATGGGACGTCCTTCTTGCATTAACACGACTTCAATTCCTGTACCAGAAGCATCGCACTCTATCTCAAAAGCAGCACCGAAATTTGGCAAAGCTAACAAAAGAGTATTAGTCAACTTATCTTTTAACAGATTGAACGTTCTCTCTTGCTCTTCTCCCACGTGAAACCCATGTGCTTTTTGATAACTTCGGTCAAAGGTGCAGCAATGGTACCAAAGTCTTTCACG